CTAAATATAATTCTTTTGAATTCCTTATCAGAGAGTTCCAGTGCTGCTTCTTCCTCAGGGATGTGTTCTGGGTCTGTATACTCTTCCGTTGTTTCTACCCCTTTATCTTGCTTCTTTGTGTGGACTGTAATGGTCTATTTTCTCTGAGATATCATAGTGTTGTTGTATTAAGATCTCTGTTAACTGTTTGTGAAGAGCAGCCAAAGGTGATTCAGGATTTTCTTGGTGGTTTTTTATCGTTGGCCCGTTGGTGGAGAAGGAGGTGGTGGCTCTTGGTCAGTAAGTGAAGTTGCAGGAGGTGTGGGTGTAGTTGTGTCTTATGGGGACTGTTGCTGTCTCTCACTCAGTTAGACAAAAATTACATTTGAATAATGATCAAAAAACTAAAAGCACATGGACAAAAAGTATACCATGTAATCACACAGAAACAGCAACCTAAAAAAGAGAAAAGGGAAAATGAAGAAGAAAAAAGCAGGAAAACCTGTAATATTTGGGGATAGGGCACTAAGAGAAAAAAGTTAGAGAAAGTGAATAATGAACAAAAAATGGGAAAAATGCAAAAAGAAAAACAAGGAACAGGGTTAACCATGAGAGGAAAATAAAAAGAAAAGAAAATTTGCAGCCAAGAACAGGGAAAAGAAAGAAAGCTGAAAACTAGGACCTGGGAAGGGAAGAATAAAGAATAATGGTAAAAAGAACAAAAGTATTAATAATAGTAATAGTTTTAAAATGGACAAATTAAGCAAACTCTAAATCAGAAAAAAGAAAGTGAAAAAGAAAAAACAAACAAACAACGGGGGAGGGCAGGGCAGGGCACCCAGGCTCCATCCAAGCATACAGACTGGGATGGAGTTCCTGTGGGCCCAGAAAGTGGGTGGGAGTGGGGGATGGCCGCACCTCTGTTTACCAAGTAGGTGTGGAGTATAAGAGTAACATTGGGAATGTCGCACCTTTTCAGTCATCCAGGTCCGGAGTGTCCTTGGGCTTACTGGCAAGCAGAACTTGTTCTTAAGCCCCTGGAATCTGGAAGAGCGCTGTCTCTTTAAATATTCAAAATGGTCAAAGCTGCTTGTAAACATTCAAAATGGCAGTGCCCTCCAGACAGGCTAAAGTCTACAGGTCAGCCTGCCTTCCTCTTCACTGCTTCTCCTTTTATTCTCCAGCCACCCGAGCAGTCCTCCGTACAGTCCCTGTCTAGCAGGGCTGATTTTGGGGTTAATTCTTATGTCCTCCCACACTTGACAATCTCCAAGCTGTCTGTGCTGTGCTGTCAGGATCGCTGCCAGACCGCAGCTCTGTATGTCTCCTTTTTTGGTATTTTCATGGAAATTCTTCTGCTAATTGGAGTTTTTTCCACTTCTATATCCTTCCCTTCAAGGCTCAGGGGTCCAGGATTATCTTCTGTGTCTGTGTTAATTGGTTCCCCTTTTCTTTGTTGAAGAGGGTCTGTGCAGTCTTTCTGCCTAGTCCGCCATCTTACCAGCACTCCTTGAATCTCCTCCTTGATCCAGAGGATGGCAGTGACACTGGAGATGGCAAGAGACTGCAAGAAGCAGCGTCAGAGAAACAGTCACAGCAGAGGCAGCAGAACCAATAGACTGGCATAAGACATAGAGATGTCCCAGCCCATGGAGCAAGAAAACTGGGAGGAAGGAAAGTTGCCGGCAGAGTGGAGTGCCTCTAAGCACTTCTCCATGGAGCTAGACTGATCCATGAGTGAGAGAGCTGAGTGCCTTCAGGCAGTAGGCTTATTGGTAGAGTGGAGTGCCTCTGAGCCCTTACAGGCAGAGGTAAAAGCTTTGTAACACTTGCTTAAGCAGAGCAAAGGTCAGGAGGCCAGGAGCGAGAGACCAAGGGCCAGAGGGAGGTGTGCCTATATTCACTGCTACGAAGAGGCTATATTGATTGAAGAACTGTATCCCTCAGGATACTATATCCTGAGGGATACAGTTCTGATCCTCAATTACAACCTATGATTTCTGTAATAAACGCTATAATGATGAGTATTGTCTGTGAGTTCTGTGTGACCCTTGCAACGAATTACTGAACCCAGCAGGCAAGTAGAGAGTGCTGTGGGAAAGACAGTTTCACAATTGGTAAAAAGGTTTGAGGGTGGAGGTGTGTCCGACCTTCACCTCATAGGAATCAGCCTTGTGCTGATCCTTCCAAAAAAAATTATTCAAACAGGTACTTAGAAGCAAGGACAGCAAGACTTTGTCTCATGTACTTTGGATATATTATCAGGAGGGACCAGTCTCTGGAAGATATCATGCTTGGTAAAGTAGAGGGTCAGTGAAAAAGAGGAAGACCCTCTAAGAGATGGATTGACACAGTGGCTGCAGCAGTGGGCTCAAATATAGCCATTATTGTGGAGATGGCATAGAATTGGGCAGTGTTTGGTCTGTTACACGTAGAGTCACTGTGAGTCAGAAGCGACTTGAAGGCACCTAACAAGAAGAAGAAAACAAACTGAGTTTATAGTCTATGTTGGTCTGGTTTATTATTTCAACTCTTATGCCTTATATTACATTCTCATATTTTTTTTACAACGTTGGAACATATGGGAAAATGTTTTGGGTGTTAGATTTTGGATATTGGCGGTGTGATGACTTCTGATTTTTTAGTGTTGTGAAAGTATTTGCTTTGTGTATGTTTTATAATTCTGGTAGCTTGGTCCTGTTACACAACAAACAGTGCAATGCGCTGCCATCTAGTCGATTCCGACTCATAGCGACCCCTCCTTGGGTTTCCCAGGTGGTATCACAACAGAAGTAGATTGCCCAACCTTTCTTCTGAGGAATGGCTGGTGGGTTTGAAACGCCAGCCTTCTTGTTAGCAGTCAAATGCCTTGTGCACTATGCCACCAGAGCTCCTTTGGTCCTATTGGGGAAACTAAAATAAGAATTATAAAATGTCTGTGACTTTTATATTTGTTGCACAGGAGGATAGTGTAAGTTGGAAGAAGGGAGTAAATGGGGAAAGTAATGAAGATAGAATGGCTATGTTCCTTGCCTTGTGTTTCTTTTTTCCCAGTTCATTTTTTGGAGAGATTGAAAGTGGAGAAGAATGCGAAAGGAGCACTTGATTGTTAAGTGGCTGAATCATAGTTAATTTTGACTGTTTAAACATTTAAACTGCAAAGAAGGAGAAAAGACTGTATTATCAGTTGAGATTCTTTGGTTGCAAGCAACAGAAATAGATTTACTGAATGAGGCCAAAGAAAGATTTATTGGAAGGTGACTCAAACTTAAGAAAACAACCAGAGTGAGTGAACAGCTACTGCTTGGGCCTTCTTTCCGGGGTGTATTGTTTGAACCATTCTCTTGTTATCTTCTGATCAGCCCAACTCTAGTCATGTGCCTAACCCTATGGGGGTAGGTGTTCATGTGGGAGAGGGAGATAAGGAAGAATAAATTCTAGGCAGAGAGAAGCAATAGCTATTACAGCTAAGGATTGCTGTTTGACTTGTATTAACCCTATCAGGAATTCAACTCATAGGTCCCCTTATCCTTTAGAGTCTCTATTAAATTACCCTCCTTGAAGGCAGGGATTGTGCCCTGCATGTGCTTTTGATTTCCTACTATGCTCTGCATGTAGTAGGTGCTTGATTTATTTAAAAGTACTATAGCTCTTTGTACTACATTATTTCTGTATTTTTTAGGCTATTCACCTATGTTGTTGTTATGTGCCATCCAGTCAGTCCCAACTCAAAACGACCCCTCCTTGGGTTTCTGAGGCAGTATCACTACGGAAACAGATTGCCTCATCTTCCTCCCGAGGAGTGGCTGGTGGGTTTGAACCACCAACCTTCTGGTTAGCAGTCAAGTGCCTTAGGCACTATGCTACCAAGTTTGCATATAATAAATTGTACTTGGTAACTTTAGATTTTATTTAAAAATTAAGAGCCTGGTCATCAATAAAGATTGTGAGTTGTATGACCACACAGAAAGACCATCTTCCTTAGCTGGTTCAGGGAACATATCTGTATTTTTTTTTCAGCCGTTAGGGCTAGGTGGTGTAGTTTGGTCACAGGGCTATACTCAAGTGATTTATGAAGAAGCAGACTCACGCCAACAAGATACTAGGCCCATACTGATAGTGATATCATTTGCCTAATAGTAATGTAATTTTATTAATGGGAATATTACCTGATCTGACTTCTTTTGTATATTCTTGAAAAAATTACTCTGGGACATGATTTGGAATAGAATATATATATGGAATAATTGAAACAGTATAGGAATTGACATCAAATGACCTGATTTGAGTCTTATTGGGTGTAACCTTGGATAAGTTAATTATTTTGTTTTGCATTTCATTTTTCTCATTAATGTCTAAAGGACAAAATAGCACAGCACTTGCTCTGCCTACCTCCCAGAGATGTTGTATCCTTTCTGGGCATTAATTTTCTCATTTATAAAAGGAGGGAACCTCTTCTCATTTTAAAATTTTAGATTTTGATTCTTTTGTTTAAAACAGCGGATGAGAGTTTCTGGGAATTTTTTTCTGTTTGCATTGCTCATTGTGAAACATCTTTTCCCTTTTAAACAGACAGTTGCAGCGGTGCAGAATGGCTGACCTCAGTCTTGCAGATGCATTAACGGAACCATCTCCAGAAATCGAGGAAGAGATAAAGCGGGACTTTATCGCCAGTTTGGAGGCAGAGGCCTTTGATGATGTTGTGGGAGAAACTGTTGGAAAAACAGACTATATTCCACTCCTAGATGTTGATGAAAAAACTGGGAACTCAGAGTCAAATAAGAAACCATGCTCAGATACTAGCCAGGTTGAAGGTGAGTATTTTAAGTATATTGGATATATATATATATAGTACCGGTCTTGCTCTGTTCAGAAAGTAGATTAGGTGTTATCCTTTGGTTCATAATCTTGGAAATATTCAGGTAACTGAGACTGAGTTTTTTTTTTTTTTTTTTAATATAGTAATGTTCTCTTAGAGACCAAGCAGATATACTCATCACCCTTTAGTTACGTGTGTTTATGAAGCTATAATTTATAACCCTAACGTTTATCCTGTGATGTTTCAACTACAGGATGACCTGCTTACCTCCCTAAATTAAACTATCTGCTGTGCCTTTTCTTTGAAAGTAACTTTGTAAAGTTATAATAAAATCTGTGCTTACATCATGACTTAATTTAGACTGGAATCAGATGCTACTTACTGTCTATGTGTTAAACCAAGTCAGGATTAAAACATTTTTTATGAATTGTGGGATCAGATAGAACAATATTTGGGTGGGCATTTTTGCATCTGTGTTCATGAGGGATATTGGTCTATAGCTTTTTCTGTTTTTTTTTTTCCTTGTGATATCTTTGGTTTCAAAATTGAGGTCATACTGAACTTATAAAATGGGTTGGGAGTTGTTCTTTCCTTTTATTTTCTAGAACAGTTTGCATAGAATTGACACTATTTCTTCCTTAAATGTTTGATAGAATTTGTCAATGAAGCCATCTAGGCCTGGAGTTTACTGTTAGGTTTTTAACTAGTAATTCAGATTAAGAGATAATAATACTATTTAGGTTATCTATTTCTTCTCACATAAGCTTTGGTAGTTTGTGTCTTCAAGGAATTGGCCCATTCTTCTAAATTATTGAATTAATGGAGATAAAATTATATATATTTTATATATTTCCCCATTTATATATGTTTTATATATTTCTCCATTCTTTTACTTTTAACTTATATCTAGGTTTCAATTTAAAGTGGATTTCTTATAGCAACGATACAGATGCTTTTTATCCTATCTGAAGATCTCTTTTAATTGATATATTTAGACTACTTATATTTAATGTTATTATTGATATACCAAAACAAACCCACTGCCACAAGTCAACTCTGACTCATAGTGACCCTACTGGACAAAGTAGAACTGCCTCATAGGGTTTCTAAGGCTGTAAATGGTTACAGAAGCACACTGCAGCATCTTTCTTCTGCAGAGCGGCTTGTGGGTCTGAACTACTGGTTTTTGGCTAGCAGCCAAATGCTTAACCACTGTACCACCAGAGCTCCTAATTACTGATAATGGTTTGATTTAAATCTTGTTAGTTGCTTTCTATTTTCTCCATCTCTTCTTTATTATGTTTTTTTCCTATTTATTTTTTAACTAATTGACTTTTTTTATCTCCAATACTGTCTTACTATATACATTTTTTCTTAAAATTGTTTTATAGTTAACTTAGGGTTTACAGTATACATCTTTAATTTATCCCATTTTGCCTTCCAGTGATATTGTACTGTTTCATATGTAGTGTAAAATCCGTGTAGAATGGCATACTCCCAGTTCCTCTTACATCTTATGTGTTACTGTCATCATACACGTAATTTTACATATATAATTAGTCTGTAATACACTATTATTTTTGCTTTATACTCGATGGCACATAACAACAACAACAATAATAAATTATCTTTGTGATTAAAAAAATAAGGGAAAAAATGTCTTTTATATTTGTTCTAATTTTTACCATTTCCAAACCCCCAAAAAACCCACTGCCATCAAATTGATTCTGACTCATAGCAGCCCTTTAGTACAGAGTAGAACTACCCCATAGGGTTCCAAGACTGTAAAATTTTATAGAAGCAGACTGCTTCATCTTTCTCTTGCAGAGTGGCTGGTGAGTTTGAACCACTGACCTTTTGATTAGCAGCCGAATACTTAAACCACTAAGCCCAGAGCTCCTTTACCATTTCCAGTATTCTACATTTCTTTTTATATATCCCCATTTCTATCTGGTACCATATTCCTTCTGCCTGAAGAACCTCCTTTAAAACATTTTTTATAGCACAGACCTGCTGGCAATGTATTATTGAGCTTGTTTGTCTTTATTTCACTTCAGTTTTGAAAGATATTTTCTCTAGGTCTAGAATTCTGGGTTAATGCTTTTTTTGTTGTAGTGCTTTGGCTGCCATTCCATTTGCCTCTTAGTTGCATAGTTTCTGAAAAGAAGACTGTTGTACCTTTTAGCTACCCGCCCACCCCTGGCCTCCTTCAAGATTTTATCTGTATCCTTGGTTTTTAGCATTTTTAAGATATTGTAGCTTTGAGGTTGATTGTTCTGCTTAGGGTTCTCTGAGCTGCTTTATCTGTGCTTTGTTGTTGTTGTTGTTGTTGTTGTTAGGTGCCCTCGAGTTGTTTCCAACTCATAGTGACCCCATGCACAGCAGAAGGAAACCTTGCCCGATCCCACGCCAGCTCCATGATCTCTGCTATACTTGAGCCCATCATTGCAGCCACCGTGTCATTCCATCTCGTTGAAGGCCTCCCCTTCTTTTGTCGATCCTCTGTGCTTTGGTGTGATTTATTAAGTTTGGAAAATTTTTGGCCATTGTTTTTACAAATATTTCTTCTGCCCTGTTCTTTCGCTCTCCTTCTAAGATTCCAATTACATTTTTATTAAATTGCCGTATATTGCCCCACACCTCCTGGATACCCCTTGTTCTCCTCTCCTCTTTTTTTCGTTGTATGATTTTGGGTAATTTTCATTGATCTGTCTTCAAGTTCGCTGATACTTTTCTTGACTGTGTCATGAGCCCTCAGTGATGTTCTTGATCTTTTTTTTAAAAAACTAACTTTTTATTGTTATTTGGGTGAAAAATTCCAGAGCAAATTGGTTTTCCATTTCACATTTCATACACATTTTGTTTCATGACATTGATTGCAGTCCCCACAATGTAATAACACTCTTCCCATTTCTTCCCTATGTTTCCCATTTCCATCTATCCTTCATTCCTATCCCTTTTGCTTTCTGAACTTTATCCCTGAGCAAATGCTGTCCTTGTGAGCTGTATGGTTGATTGTTCTAAAGGCTGCATACTTCCGTGGTGTTATTCTTCACCTCATGGACCTGTCTATTGTTTGGCTGAAAGTTGAGCCATGAGGTTGAGCTCAGTTCCAGGCTTGATGGTTGACTAAAGGCCATAGTCCTGGGGTTCTACCAGTCTTGATCAGACCAGTAAGCCTTTAAGATAAAGTGTTCTTTATTTTTATTGTCTTTTTCTCCCCCTAATATGTAGTGTTTCTTTTTGACTTTTTGTAGTTTCTATCTCTTTGATAAGAGATGATTTCCACCTTTTCCATTGTAGACTTTAACATATTAGTAATAGTTTAGAACATCTGGATCATCTCTCAGTCTGATTATTTTGTCTCTTGACCTTTTTCCCCCTGATTTTTTTTTTCTTTGTGTGTGTGTGTGTCTTAATTTTTTATTGAAAGAGACTGAGGTAAAACATATTTATGCCTGGAAATGGGCATGTGTTAGGCTGGGTTACCTAGTACTACTCTTAATAGAAATATAAATGGGATGGCTTGAACAAACAGGAGTTTATTCTCTGTTTGGAGGCTTTTTAGTATGAATTCAAAGTGCCATGCTCTAGGGGCTGGATGAAAGCCCCTCAACCTTGGGCTTCGGCTCTGCCTCCTGCTCCCGGCCCACTGAAGCTGGAGTCTTTTCTGCACTCAGACAGCTGCTGAGACTGACAAGCCCAAGGTTGACAAGTAAAAAGGCACAGTCCCGATGTTACCAAACCCCACAGTAGGCCATTAATTCAAGTCCATCGAAAGTCCCAAGTGTCGGCAGAGCATTGCGGGCTGCTGAACAATGACACGTTTATGTGCAGGGTTCAAGTGTGCCATAAACTAGAGACCATTCCCCAAGGCTTCTCCTTATATACAGGAAGCAGACACATCCCAAAGCCAGCTACTCAGCTGCTCACAGTAGATTCCATCATGGAGTTGATTACCAGTCTGATCATGGGGCTGCCCAGCCACTCAACGAAGCCCAGCCAAGTTGACACACAAACTTAACTACCACAGAGCATATCTCTTCTTGTTAGTCAGCTTAGGCAGGAGTTGATCTAGATTTGAGTTTTGTTGTTACTATGGCAGCCACTCCTCGGAAGGAAGGTTGGGCAATCCTACTTCCGTAGTGATACTGCCTCGGAAACCCAAGGAGGGGTCGCTATGAGTCAGGGCTGACTCGATGGCAAACAACAACATGGTTGCCTTTAGTGCTTTAAGCTCCTTTATCTTTTCTTTGTGCTTAGGTGACTGAAGTGATAGAATGTTTTCTTCAGTGCTCCACCCTCAGCTTTTGTCCTTTTGTGTGCACCTGTACCTCAAAGGGACCTTTTTCTGTGCTTTTGCTACCCTCTCCCAAACCTCATCAGAGGACACATGGTCTTCTGGGTATCATGGTCCTTGCTAGCTTGGTGGTAGGCGTGGGGTTATTTTTGATCCTGGTTTAAGATCATTTTTTTTGGTATGTGTTTCATGGTTAAGTTTTTCTTAGTGATCCTGTCTCTCTCACAGTGATGTTGTTGTTGTTGTTATGTGCCGTCGAGTCAGACCCAACTCATAGCGACCCCTTCTTGGGTTTCCAAGGCAGTATCACTACGGAAGTAGTTGCCCCATCTTCCTTCCGAGGAGTGGCTGATGGGTTTGAACCACCAGCCTTCTAGTTAGCAGTCAAGTGCCTTAGGCACTATGCCACCAGAGCTCTTCTCACAGTGATAGGAGACTTCTTATGGTAGTGGTGTAAGATCTTGGGTCTAGGAATTTTTTCTGTTTCTCTCTCAGGAGTAGAAGGTTTTTTTCCTGTTATTCTTTCCCCACTGCATTGGTTCCTCACCTGTGCTCTGGGGCTGACAGAAGGTGCCCTTCCCTCAGTGGCTTAAGGCTTTTATTTCCATGGCTTGGACATAGGGCTTTGCACTTTTCCCTCCAGATCTATCACCAGGTCTGTACCATCAAGTGACACCTTCTTTGGTCTTCCAGCC